AGACCGAAAATGGAGTATTGCTGTTATATCTGAGTTAGAGTTGCCAAACTGACTGTTTCCAAACTTGAAGGAGTTTAAATGCATTTACCGGGCCTTGAGAGGGATTTTATTTTCTATCTTAGCTTCAGACGAAACGTCGCAAATCTCTCACTAATCTATCGCTATTGAATGGAAAAGAATCTGATATGCTACATTCCTTAATTATACCAGTTCCTAGCTATACAACTAAACCCCGTCATGCCATATACAAAGAGGCGAACCATATTAACTTATTTCTTATTTCATTGGTAAGAAGGAAGTTCAATTCGGACAGATTCTGCCTAAGAATTACTTCTTTGTATAACAGATTCCCGGGAGAATTCTTCACCGATGACTTCTGTCTTAACCTCATCAATCCAGATTCAAGCGGTATATGTCCCAAATATACTCAGCACTTTGAAACTTCTCCATCTACGTTCATAAAACATCCTTCTTCTTGAGAGGATCTTGGTGCTTGTATTGGTTAGACAATAGCATAGAAACAATTTAGTCCACAAATTGAAAAAAAATCTAGACACCACTGATAGCACTTATAACATTAACGACACAAAATTCATAATCCTACTCTCTATCAAAAAAATTTGAAAATAAACGAGTTATCTCTGATACCAGGGTCTTTACCACCACTATAATCGAAGATATAATTAGGAAAAAAATAAATCCAATAGCACTTACATCGGCGAGACATCTCGTAATCTGGAGCCTGGATCTACGAGTTTAAAAGAGATCTACTTTGGAGCCATTCCTTTAAACTCGATCATAATACGCAGGAACTGAACTGGTCACCACTTTGATTTTACAAATGCCAAATTAATTAAAAAAGGAACATAATTATTTATGTCAAAAATACTGGGAATTAATCTTTATAAATATTTTAATATTTATAGACTACGTCAAATCACAATATTACATCACCTACCTTTATAAAAGCCCTTTTTAAAGAATCGAACGTATATTTATCGACCACAACCGGTGATTACGTAAAAAAGTCCGTTAATCAACATTTGGACAATCATCAAACATGGCTATAGTCTACTACTACTACGAGTAGTACTACTACACCACACACACACACACACACACACACACACACACATATATATATATATATATATATATATATATATATATACAAGGTGGTCCAAAGGTAGGTGGACTGTATGTGAAATAGGTTTATGTATCGGTTATATTATTACAACTGAGTATCTTGATGAAACATTTCCTGAGAAATGGATTGGCCGAAGAGGTGCAATTGATTGGCCGGCCCGTTCACCAGACTTGACTCCAATGAATTTCTAATTTTGGGGAGTACTCAAAGTTTAGAGTCGAAAACCAAGAAGTGTCGGTGATTTTAAAAAATTACTTAAGGGATGCATTTCAAGAAATTAATATCCAAAAAGACTTCTGCATAAAAGTTTGTCGAAGCGTTAGAGGTAGACTTCAAAGGTGTGTAAATTATGATGGAAAACAGTTTGAGCACCTGCGTTGATAAAATTTAAGGGCTTTTGTGTTATTGTTCACAATAAAATTTAATTGTCAATGTGTAATAATTGAGTTAGTAAATATAATTGTATATATCTGTATTCTCAAAATAAATATAATTATTTACTGTTCACTTACTTTTGGACCACCCTGTATATATATATATATCTGTGTGTGTGTGTGTGTGTGTGTGTGTGTGTGTGTGTGTGTGTGTGTGTGATAGAAATATTAAATTGTGGTCAACATATAGCTGGGAGTCTATCACATGTTTAAACGCAATCGCAGGTTATGTCTGTTGTGTATATATGTTGGTCACTGATGCATTCTGGGTAGATCTATTGTATCATTCTAACAGTTAGTGAGGGGACGGTAACGTGTTTACCTCTATTTATTCTAGGGGTTATTGAGTAGAAATATTTGTGTATACAAATGCAGTCTTGTGGCTATTTGATAGTGTTGTTTTTAAGCTTTATTATTGATTACTTTGTTATTTATTATTACTATTACGTTAATTTCTGCTTATGTGAGCGTTCGTAGTTTGTTAATTTGTATATAATTTACTTAATTTATTTTCTGATTTGGATTAATTCATTTTACGTATTTGGTTCAATTATGTATTTTTTTACAATTTTATTTTGTGTTCGTTTTTTATTTTCATTTCGTAAATAACATAATAATATTTGTTTTCATTTCTGCATTTTGAGATGAATTCCAAGCGTTTATTTAGTAACTTGAAGGTAATTATTGCAATTTTCCCCTTCCGGACTGACTTGACAGTTCCACTCACCAAGCACTCATTTTCATAGTAAAAACCAGCTACAATTTCACCGAGCACAAGACACGAATAATAAAAAAACACAACAGGAAAACAATAAACAGCCTGCACAAATTAAACCCACCTGTAACGGTAGAGCAACGAACGAATATCCCTTAAATGGCAATTGCCTACACATCCAAGCCACTGCAAAATCAACATATATATGAAGAAATATAGTCTTAAGGTGTGCTATATTTATGGGTTAAAGTGCTCAATATCAGAGAAAGAGCGTGTGTAAATATAAAAGTGAACATTGAAGTCAACACTTAGAGGCGACAGTCTGTTTCATGCTAGACGAAATCGTAAGCCCACGAGTGTTGTTTTTTTGTTCTTGGCTATTTATATATACGGGTCAGTGGTGGATTGTGGGTAGTCTATTTTTGGCGGTTATTTTGCCGGAAGTCGTATATATAAATAGCCGAGAAAAAAAATAACACTCATGGCCTGACGATTGCGTCTAGTAAACAGCCTGTCGCCTCTAAGTGTTGACTTCTACGTTCACTTTTATATTTACACTCTATCTCTGATATTGAGCACTCCATCCCATAAATATAGCACGCCTTAAGACTATATTTCTTCATATATATATATATATATATATATATATATATATATATATATATATATAAGTGAACATTGAAGTCAACATTTAAAGGCGACAGTCTGTTTCATGCTAGACGCATTCGTCAGGCGACTTAATATTGTGATTTGACGTAGTCTATAATTATTAAAATATTTATCAAGATTAATTCCAAGCATTTTCGACATAAATAATTATGTTACTGTTTTACTTAATTTGGCCTGAGGAATAAGACTAGCATGAAACAGACTGTCGCCTCTAACTGTTGACTTCTATGTTCACTTGTATTATATATATATATATATATATATATATATATATATATATATATATATAATAATAGTACAGGTAATCGATCAGTTGGTATATAATCCGGGTGGATCCTAGTAATATTAGTTATTCAAACTGATACCCCAGATAGCTCGGTGTATTTATTATGACAGAGCATATATATTTTTTACACCAAGAAAACCAAAAATTACCTCAACATAGAGATATTCTATTTCAAGCTGTTCTGTACGCGGCTATCATCATCCCCTAAGTGTCTGTCTCGGAGCATTGTTTTAAATTTATTTTCATTGTCAGTTCTCCTCTGGTAGACGCCTTGTTAATGATAAGAGGTCTTGTGTTAGCGACTGGTGGAGGGCTTAAGGTATCTTATCCCGGGGTCGGAGTCTGGGGTTGAAGTTTATTTATGGCCAGTACCTTTCGTTGTATATTGTTTAATATCAGTTCTTACTATGTGTTGTTTCTCATACAAGCCCCAAGTGTGTTTTTCTGGGATTCACAGTAAATAGTTTTTGTACTACAGGTGTTAAATATTATTAATAAGTGAGTCGAGATTTAAACTTAAACCCGTGAAGAGTAATGTAAATTAGTTGAGTTATAGATTTACAGATTATTGGTAATACCAGAACACCCAATGGAATAAATCATGCTGTTCAACACACTTATATGCATACATATCTTTATACATACATACATATATATATATATATATATATATATATATATACATTACATGACCATACATATATGACACTATATGTACACAAACATCCTCACATATATGCACATGGATTCTTATATGTAATTTGGAATTGTCTACATTTCGTGATTAGTTCTTTACGTTGATTTAATAATTTGCATTGATCTTCATATTTTATTATCCTGATTTTTTTCTTCTAAATATAGCTTGGACCTATCCTTAAAACTATTGGGGTGGTGTTCGCGAAACCTAGAATTTTCTAATTTATTTGGAGATTCAAATACTTTTGCTTCAATTAGCAAAATCTTTTTCGAAAGTGCTGTTTGGTGTTTTAATTTTGGATTGATGAATTGGTCTGAATCCTCAAATAAATTAAAAATTTGTTTTCAAAACAGTATTTCAGTTATTCGGAAAATTTTTTTGTGTTGAAATGTTAAGACATTTTCTTTTTTTAAGCGACCATTTTCGCGGTTTTATCTTTCTAGAAATATAAAAAAATAGGACTAGAAATTGTATTTTTCTTACTAGCCGGGGACTTCGGGTTAGTATTATTACTATTAGTAAGAAAACAATCAGAAATCCTCCTAAGTGGATGATCTCAGAATAAAAAAAAAAAATATTACCAAGATATTTTACCGTCTTAATTGATTTAAACATGTTCAGAAAGAAAATTACAATTTAAAAAATTATTTGCTACTGGAATTAGCATTTCTGCACCCCCTCCCTAGTAGGTTTGAGGCCCCCACGCGGTTGAGAGGTTCGGGATAGTAAGCACCGGCCTTGTTGATTATTATAGTTAATGATTGGCAAAACTGCTAAAACTACCCCTTTTGGGGCTACAACCTCCACGGTTGCTTCTGTGTAGTACGCACCTCACCGCCCATTCAGATACACGAAGTATATTATTAGTTGATGATTGACAATGTGACGTCAGTTTAAAAAAATAATTTTAAAAATAGCGGATAACCATAAAACAGCTGAAAAATATGGCAGAGGCCACATCGCCTCCCGCCCCCGGAGTGTTTTGTGGGCAAGAATTGCCAGCGCTGTGAATTGTTATTCCAGACAAGATTGATAAAAAATAAAAGTGATTTTACGGCCATATCACCTTATAACGCCAGTTCTCCTCCGATCACTGAAGTTAAGCAACGTTTATCCTGGTTAGCATTTAGATGGGTAACCATTCGGGAATACCAGATGCAGTAATCTTGGATAACGGCTCGTAATTGGAAATCGGAGAGCCGAGTTCGAATAGAGGTCTAGTTTGTTATATTCAGTTACGTGAAAATATCCTTGAAAAAAAATTATGAATCCACCTATTCTTCCCACCAGCTATGGATTAAATAGTAGATCTTTTACCAGAAAATCATTATGTTCTTGAGAACATAATAATTTTATTACAATCCAAAAATACGTTTCGCTTTCAAATGATTTTAATCAGTTTGATAAGCCTTTAAAACAAATCAATGAATAAAACAAAAAATATGTATTGGAGGATTTATCATTGTCTATTTTCTCCCTTTACCTTAATCTGGCAAAAGGTCTGGGTAGTTCATTGTATATACCTTTTCCCTTAAGGACGTGCACGATTATGGCTCTCCACAACTTCCTATCTTTGTAGTTCTTAGAAAGGTTTGTGCTTTTCTGCCATCCAGTTACACAAGCGCCTTAGGTGGGATATTCTCTTGTCTTATTTATAGCATCATAATTTTTTTTACCTCCGCGATACGAAGAGTTCCGTTTAAAATCCCGTTTAAAAGAAGAGTTCCGCTTAAAATTCTAATAATAAAAAAAAGTCGATTGCTGAGATGCACGCATGCGCAGTTAGTTACGGATAAATATTTGTGTTTGTTCAAGTCGATTGAAACCGCGTATTTCACGCTTTCCTTGAGACGTTGGCACGAGTTTCAACGATTTTCTCGCTTGACAGAAGCCGGAGACTTGAGGCTCCGAAGCGTGTGATAGTAATTAAAACTCATAAAATATTGTTCTGACAAGACTTTTTAGAAAGTTTGCAAAGGACAAAACAACGCTTTATATGAAGTGTTGGTAATAGTTTCCAGTTTACAGATTCCTGTTAATAATCTGAGATGAAGAAAAACGGAAAAAATAAAAGAGAAGGAAGAAATTAGAAGATTAAAAATAAGAATAAAGATCGATGAGTCTTATCATCAACGATCAACTTAACACCGGACAAACGTGTCTAAAACACGTTCTAAATATTTCTTTACTTAAGGTAGTTTAGTTTGCCACATGGTTCACTAGGTAGGGGAGAGTGAAGTAGAATATATATATATATATATATATATATATATATATATATATATATATATATATATATATACACACACACACACACACACACACACACACACAAACATATATATATATATATATATATGTATGGAATTTTATTGAATACAACAGACAAGGTGCATTTATTTAGTTTTTTATACAATTTATCATGCGATCTAATATATTTTTTTCTTTTCAGATGATAAATTATATGAAAACTGCCCGAATGTTCTTTTTATCCGAGCGCTTTCGGCTATACATTTAGCCATTTTCAAGGAATAAATATTTTAACTGTTAAATAAGAAATAGTTTGTTACATGTTTGTATTTATATAGGGTTTTAATTTTTCAAAAACTTATTATATTATTATATATAGAATTATATAGGCTACACTACAACAAGCTTAACACGCAGACTCACTCCACATCTTTCTAACCATAGCTCAATTACATATCATTTAAATATTCATATACTTGCTGACAACACAAATATAATAGCATCATATACATGCAAAAAAGGCTAATAATAATGGAAACCTTATTAATAAAAAGAAAACAAAAACAAACTTAATAATATTAACTTTGAACATGGACACAATAGCTTGACCGTGTTTTGAAAAATGAAAATACTATATAAATACATACATGCAACAAATTATTTCTATAACAAATCATTTTTTAAGTGAGTAGGTTGTTAGCCGAAGCTGGAGGATCAGGTTTTGATTTCAGACCTGTCCTTCTTTTAGACCAGTTGCCAAACACGGCTATAGAACCCGGTATGTCCTGCTATTTACCCATAGGTTATTAGCACGTAAGTGAGTGTAATGGATTCGACTGGAACCCGGCTCTTCATTTCCTCTATTATTCCACCGTGCCTCTGTGAAGGAGAATAGTTTGATCTCATACTGCCAATTTCTTGCTTGCCTTGAAAACAAGAATTTAAAATCTCGCTTGTTTACATCTATCCGAATACTGGCGATTGGCGTCGTAAATACCTCAATCACCAGATACGTTACTTATTTTACTTACTCCACTTATTTTAGCACACGCCTATAGCTACTGTAAAACTAAAGAGTTTGAAACGCATTACACGATAAAATTGGTCTCGTAGACGAATTTTTCATGATAGGCATATTTAAAAAAATTTTTTTTGATACTTTTTACAGTAAAGAGCCACTCAAGGTAGAGGATTACGTTAGGAGGCGGTTTATGCAGATAAGAGGGGAAGATCCTGGTTAAAATTGAAGCGATCCGGGAAACATGCTTGCCGGTTTCACAGAGCAGTTCTTCGCGGGAAGAAGCTGTTTGAGTTGAACCTTCTTCCCTGTGATGGAATACGGGGGGAATGAGGATGATTTACTACAATAGGACTGGCATGGTGCGTCCTTACCGTGAAGATAAGAACTACTGAAACAAAGGAATGCAGTTCGTCCGAACACTTTCCATGAAAGTAGCGATAGAACTGCTGTATCCTGCCTGTGAGAGAAAAGTTGGACGGTGGAAAATAATTCGTTCCCCACAAGGACTCGGAGACGCTTCTGGATTCTATCAAGGCCGGAGTATGGGGTCTGGTCAGCTCCCGTCCAAATATGACAACGGTACTCCATGTTTTGTTGATCTGGCACTTGTAAAGGTAGAGGATAGCAAGTGGAAACAGGTATTTACTGGAACCCTACAGGAAGCTGATAATTTTACCTGCATCTTTAGCGATAAGGTCAGGTGTGAGTTTAAGGATCAATAGTCTCTTAAGATACGGTGCCTTCAGAAGGTGTGGGGGCATCCGTTCATCGTCAGCGGCGGTAGTTCGGGGTCTGATAGGCGAGGATGGGCCAAATAGATATTCCGTCTTGAATAATCTAATTTGTCAACTCATAAAATAAGTGTATCGTTTCAAATAAACATTCCGTTAGAAAGGTTTTCTACTATCAGTCAGTTATGTGCCATGCTTAATACACGCTTAGGCGATCATGTATCTTTTGATACATGACTGACGAGGCAGATTTTCCCCCCAGTAAGTTGCCATTATTTTCTACGATAGACCAGTTGCCATCCCAGGCTATCTGTCCTACTATTTACCCATACCTGGGAGGAGAAGAAGATCCATACCTTTCCCATTACATATCATTTAATCAACATCGAAGTTGTCGCGTACTTGCTGCATTGTCACTCGTTTAAATTATTGAGGTCTGTTTTAAGAAAATCTAATTTTATTTAGATAATTCAATAATTTTTTCGACTCCTTTCGAATAAATTCCAGTAGTGTGAAATAGCAAACGACTACAATGCTTATTATCACGAATGCAATTTTGACACGACAAGAATACAATCTTTCTATAAAATTACGATTAATTAAGAAATAGTATTGATAGTAACATTGCTTATGAGACAAATTTTAAAATTTATATTAAAATTAAAAAAAAAAACACTGATAAAATATTCATTAAAATATACTTTTAAAAATTGCTATACAAATTAAATATTACCGCTTGTGTTGGAACAAAATAATCGTGTCTTGGAAAAAATTATTTGAAAAAGAATAAACCTGACGGACGAAATAAGCACCGTCTTTATTAAAAAAATAATTTGCCGTTTCTCTTCAGGACTTTGGCGATCATTGTTCTTCACAATTTCCTGTCCTTTGAATTTCCTATTGACTTATTTCTCATATGTCGTCCCATGCTTCATGTCTACGGTCAAACATTATCTATCCTACCTATCCACATAATAAGCAATTCTTATATGCTTCCTTTCTGCTCTTACAAAAATCTAATTCAGTAACCTTTTATATCAAGTGGTTCTTGGGCCTTGTACTGTTAGAAAAATAGCATTTTAAAATAATATCTTAAATAGCAAAAGTTCACCTCTTAGTACCGATGGACGTTGAAAAGTTAACCGAATGTGGCAACCATCGAATAAAAAAAAAGTTTTAGAGGCAACGTTTTTTGAAGATCCGAGGTTTGATTATTGAGTCAAATTTTAGAAAGTGGGTTGAGTTGAGAACATTCCAGTAAACCTTCGTTCTACTGCCATAAATGGGAGAACAATTTATGACTTCCATATAAAACAAAAGTGATCATCAATTTACCATTTGATTTTTATCAAACAGTTATTGGATATCTACAAGGAGGGTTGGCAAAGTAAAGAAAGGGATTACATTTGAAAACGACTAAATTTTGAGTTGGCTTTCGAGTTTATTGCAAAAGTAGCCCCATAATTATTTTCTTCTTCCATATGCCGTGGTCCTTCAGAACAGATGATCAAATAATCATGTCTCTCCAGTTTCCTCTCATTTGTAACTCGTAATAAATGTCTTTTCGTTATCCCTTCTAAACACTGTTCCGCTCTGTTTTACACTAACTCTTTATAAATGTTATGCGTTGTTTTCCTCAGCACCTCTTGACTTCAATATGTCTTATGAGCGTCAAATTTTCTAAGCACTCTTTTCTCATTATCTCTTTCTGATGTTAAGTATAAGTGTCCTATTTGTTTCCACTTTCTCTAAAAATTCGTCGTTTCATACATATTCAGTCCACGGTATCCTCAGCATCCTTCTGTAGAACAACATTTCTGTTGCTTCAAATCAATAGTGGAAAAAAAATCGTTCGCTGAATTAATACAGTGACTTAATCTAAAGAGTTGTAAATTGAATAACTTGCCACAGGAGAGGTGAACAAAAACTTGGAGAGGGAGTTTTGAGTTACTAACTGCAACGGAGATATCCAAAAAGGGCATGGCACGTGGAACTAGAACAGTCTACACCAGTAGACGAAATAAAGGGTTCGATCGAAAGTCCAATACATATAACCTGAAGAAGGCCGGAGAGTGTTAAATAATAGTTTACCTGACTATTATTCTTAGGGGAAATGTACCGATGAGATCAGATACAAAACAAGACAAAGGAAGTCGATTTTA